GCTCTGTGTAAAGCAGGCCTAGCCTGCCGCGGCATGCCAGCATACAGCTCTGCTCAGGGCAACATCTCCAGGAGATAACACCTCAGCCTGGATCTAAACTTTAAAGGATGGTGCTACAGAGGTGGCCTTCAAGCTCATTACTCAAGCTTGCTAAATGCACATACGAGTCCAGCTCCCTCTGATCACAGTGGTGCAGCCGTCCTGTGCACATTGTCCATGACAGTTTTGGAGAGTCGGGGCTTCCCCAGGGCCATGCTTTGCCCTGCTGGCACCTAGATCACAGGGGAAATGAAATGGAGAATGCCTTGCCCTGCGAGACACCATGCTCAGAGTAAGCAGAACAGCGCGCCCTGAACAAGACATAACACTGGTGCTAGCATGGCTGCCCACCCTGGGAGGGGAAGCGGGGCCATGGTCTCACCCCGTGCTCCTGTGCCACCTTCTCCTTCAGCCGTCCTTCCCTTCATTGGCCAGCCCAAGGTCATCAATGCAGGCAATAAGCACCAGCCAAGGAAAGCAAACACCAGTCCCTCTTCAAGCAGCTCTGGGTACATTAAACACGACAAAAGGCTCAGGGTTGACGGGCTGGCACAGCAAAGGCACCAGGACTGGGTGCCACGAAGCCAGGGCATTGGGACAGTACTGGGTGCTGAGGGGCAGCCCTGTATGGTCGGATAAGGAAAGCAGGCACTGGTTCAGTCCTGACAGACTATATAGCAAGAGGGTGCTCAGACCAGTAATCCTCCAGTGGGGCTGTCAAGAGCTGTCCACTGGTCAGTAACAAGTGACAAATCACTGCAGTGGCCAGGAGCCCTTCAGCAGATCCCATAGAGCAGCCATCACTCCATCCTACCCTGATAAACCTCCTTAGACAGACAGTGCTCATTTTCATTCACAAAATTTACACAAGGATTCCATATTTGTCATAGCTGCACATGGGTCATGCCTGTGGCTCAGCCGTGCTATGCAGCTGGCATATCATGAAGCTCTGATTTCAGCTCTGTGCACCAACACTTCCCCTTCCCACCCCTCCAGTAGGTTTGCCACCCCTCCTTACCCCCCACATTTGCACACACAGAGGTGTCAGTACCTTCTGCTCACAGCTTTCCATCTCCAGTATTACATCCACCTTATGTGGCAGGAGATGAGAAGGAGGAGGTTCCCCTGGCCTCCTGCGCAGCTCAGTAGGTAAATAAAGGTGTCAAGGCCTATGGTCAGCTCTGTGGAGACAGATTTCTCCCTGTGTACAGAAAAAACCCAGAGGAAAATCTGTCATTAGAAATCTGTGCTCCTTTCATCCCAAACTTTACTCCAGCCTTTCAGGGGAAATAACAAGTTCTGAGTCAGTTTGTTTGCAGGGTGGTGGAAAATCCCCAAATTCTACACTCAGTACTCAGGCACATAGGAAGATGCAGTTCTTCCTTCTTTTCTCGTGGTCTCTGCTGCTGTGAAGTAGAAGAGGGAGAGAGGACAAGCCCATGAAGGCAAAATGGCTGTGCCTGTCTCTGGACCAGGCTGCATCCACAGCATGCAGCACACAGCCCTGAGTCTCCTCCAAGCCCCTCATGGTGTCTCTTCTGTCTCACTGAAGATATAACCAATATTTTTGCATGTTTTTCCAGGTCTAAGTCTTGGAGGAGGGGAGGGCTATGAAGCAGGCAAACCATCAGGCGGGTTTTTTACATGAAGCAGTGGGGACCTGTTGCGTGCTCAGGAATGGGGCTCAACCACATGGATGACCAGGCTTGTTGACACTTTTCTTTAGCACTGCTTGCAATCCCTGGGTCCTGCTGCTCGATTCTACCTGTGTTATATGAATTACATACACTGTTGTTTGCTGTTTGTGCTGGGGGTTTGTTCGGTTTGTGGTTTGTTTTTTTTTTAACAAGCTATTTAATAAACATAAACTTGGAAAATTAATATTTTTCAAAGTCAAGTTGCCAAAATCATGCAAGTGAAATTCAGTTTTTAAAAAAAAATTTTCTGCGGTTATTCAGCCAGTGTTAAATAGAAAGTACCTGCTCACAAGCACCAAGCGACTGCCGCAAGCAGTTGACTGGTGGCACAGACAGCACCACTTCCACAAGCAAGTCTTGTTTTGAAGTTCGATTGCTGGCTCAGAAGTCCTGGTGATTTCATCAATAAAATGCAAGTTTATCAGCTTGTATCTACTGATGTATCACTTCCTCTTCAAATACCGATGTCTTTAATTTTCACTGTGAAATATCTGATGCTTTCATTAACAATTTCCAATACTGGGGGAGAAATGTAAGACAGAAACCATCTTAATACAAGCGACCACTGTTATATGACATTGTTTTTCTTGTTTCTGTTTTTTATGTAAATGCATTTTTTGTAATTTATTTAGTTTAGCATATTTATGTATTTAATTTGTGCTATGTACATAGCTTATTATACAATAAAGACATACTAATTCTATTTGCACTTTGATATTAATGCGGTTAATGCATTTATCTAATTTGTATTTTTGTAGCTTCTAGTCAGGACCAATTTCCACCTGTAATGTTTCTCTGCTTTATTCTTACCTTTTATTGTAGATATTGCTGTTAAAGTGATGCTTTTTCATTTTCAGTTTTCTCTGAACTTTATTAACCCTGGTTCAGAAACAAGGAGAAACAATTTAAATCATCCACTTGAATCATGTGGCCTTCTTACACTTGCCTAATAGGGCCAGCACTGTTGAATCTAGGCTAGCAAATTATGTACAGATTCCAGGCAGCATTAAAACCAGCCAGGCACTCCCCCTCCGTTTGAAATCTGGCTTTTCCTTCAACCGATTCCCTGCCTCTTCTGGAATATACAAATCCTGAGAAACTTCTTTGACCCAGTTGAAATGAAAGCATTCAACATTTCTCCTCTTCCATTGCCCACATGGTACCCCTAGGATGCCTTGTGCCATTCTTACCCTTCCACACCTGGCTCTGCTCTCCTGGTTTTGCAGTCTCCTTCACAGTATGCAGCCACAGCAGGGCGAGTGTTGCTGAACTCAGCAGAGCTTTAGGTTCCCCAGTGAATGATAGATGGGAACAGACAAGTATAATAGAGAGAGGAGCACATGAAAATCATTGACCTCAGGTTCATTAGAGTACAAACCACTAAGTTTCGAGAGGCTCCACTTTGCCTCCTGTACAGACACTAGTACCCTGGTGATATCTACATTGTCTTCACTGTGTGAAAACAGAAGTAACATTTTCCTTTTGAACATAATTTGGGATTTAATGTAATTATTAATAATTAATTTGTTTACATTTATTTGCCCGCTGAAGTCTGTGTACTGTTAAAGTATCACCTTTCTGCTAGGAGAAAGTTCTCTTTCTTCATAAAGCCTCTGACTCCACATCTCACCAAGTCCAGTTGCTCTCCTCCACGGGATTCATCCGACGGGCTCCTGCTCAAATGCTAAATCCTGTTTAAGATCTGTCACATCCCTCCTTGCTTTTCCCCCTAACTTCTTCAAGCCTCTGTTCCTGATACATGGGAGCCTCCACGAGCCTTTTAACCTCTGGGCACCTGTTTCATTTTCATCATTGCCCGATCTCCTTGTCTTATTTTAACTTAAAAAAATATACTTATTTGTCCTGAATATCAGCCAGTTCATGGTACAGTGACTGAAAGTACCTTTCTGTTCATCCTCTTCTTCTTTCTCTTGGAAATAGAAATTGGTCAAATGGCTGTAAATCTAATTTTTCTTGTACTTGGTCTGGCTCCTATTTCATCATCTGAAAAGAAGTTAAATCACCCCAAATGGTGGCTATTACACTAAACTATCATGCTGCCTGGTCTGAGGCAGAAAAGCACAATAAATCTCTGTTCAGAAACTCAGCATTATTTAATTCACAGAACAGCCATATTTTTCGAGCTGACAGGCTCAGTTACAGCTCTTTCAATGTCCAAATAATCCAAAGTCTCTCAGCTAACCTTATATATGTGCCCATTTTAGAGACTTCGACCCCACCAGTCATCCTGTGAAGTGAGTGAAAGGCACATCAATATACCTAGTTAAAAAGGATAAAACCCTGGCCCTGCTGAATTCACAAGGCAATTTTGGGTTTGATATTAATGGGATTCAATAACAGAGTAAGAGCATTAGCAAACAACTTTGACAAACAGCAAGGATACCAGTGAGCCCAGAAGGGCTTTCTAAAACCCAAGCTCTCCTTGCAGCAGGGGCATTTAGAGAACCCATTGGCTCTGCCATTTGCCATAAGTCCTTTGCTTTTGTATCTGTGTGAAGGTGCTGGGGACAGTTTCAGTCCTGCTGCTGTGGGCACAGTGGAGGTCAGGGTTGGGTGTCTGCCTCAGAGCACACAGGAGCCTTTAGCTTAAAGCACATAGAAAAGGTAGCTAGAGAACACCTGTAGGTTCTCTGCTCTGCCTCATTATATAGCTGCATGGCAAAACTTTTATTATACATACTTTGAAGCTGAGTTAGCATTTTCAGAGATCTAAAAACATTTTCTGCAGAAAACAGGATAACATTGATCTGCATTTCCCCAGCTGTGCAACACGGCAAACACTCTGGGAAACGGTGCTCTTCCCTCACCCACTCCTGCTGCAATCCTCTATATCCCAAGAGATGGCTACGGGTTGTAGTGGCACAATTATATCCACTATTTGCAGGTTAATGGAAAAAAAAAAAAAAAAGAAAGAAAACTCAGAGAGAAATAAGTTCTCCTTCACTTTATCTGCTCTGATAACAGCTATCACAGTAAGTCTATCGCAAGCCCTACAGGCACTTGGCAAAATGTGTAACTCTGCTGACCTGCTAAGGCAGTCAAAAGAAAAGAGAAGGGCATTTGATAGGAACTAACTTTTCCTTGCCAGCCTCAACCCCAGCATTATCAACACCCTTTATAAAGAATTGTATCTGCTGTAGGTTGATAATAGCGATCAGGGGCTTTCATTGGTATAGGAAGTAATCTCGGTGACCTTCATTGGAGAAGGTATAAAAACCAAAGCTTTTTTCTTGGACAACTGTTTGGGCATTGGTTGAATTTCTTAGTTTCAAAGGAGGAAGCCTTTGGGAAAATTTTGTGAGAAAATGGCAACTTTAAATGAAAAAAAGACCTGCAGCGAACGGATGGAAAATTTCCGTCGTTTTGTCTGGAATCCAGAAACAAAGCTCTTCATGGGAAGGACCTTAATTAACTGGGGTAGGTTTTCACACACAAGAGTCTTCTCTTCCTTTTGGTACACTTCAAAACTTTGGGTGGAGGGTCACCCTAATTAATAATGTGGTGTTAGATATATCGGAAATGTTGAAGACACCAGTTCTTATATGTGTTTCTGAGCCACATTCAGAGTCAACTAGATCAAAACATTGATCCAAGCAGTTCCTGCAAATATTAAGAAGATTTAAAACTGGGTTTGGACCAAATACTTCAGAAGGATAAAACTTTACACATTAAGAGTTAATTTATTAATAGCTGAGGGTGATGGTTACAACGTGCTTCTGACATTGTTGACTAAAAGGGGTTCTGATACATAGAGAATTTTGCTTAACTTGTGGGCTTTGTCCAAATCTCTTGAAACACTTTCTGCTTTTCCAAAATTCCTTTTAAAATTATTGTCTGCTCAGTAGCTCTTCTGATCTCTTATCACTGCATGCTGGTGAGTATTTCAGCTGAATCTCCCTGCCTGCAGCCAGACTTGTGTCTATGACAAAGGCATTTTCTGATCTACATTCTGGGAAAGGTAACCCTAACCATTGTAAGGAGGATGCCTGCTCTTGCAAATTTCCAGGTGATTTTTTCCTGCTGTGAAGCCGATGAGTGTAACTTATTGGCTACTCTTAACACCAGATTTTTACAGAAAATTAAACCAAAATTAGCCTTTCCAGTTTGGAGAGAAGAAGATCTTATGAGGTGCTGATTACAGGGAATCAGTTTCTGACACCCACCCCCACAAATAACCACTGGCTTCTTGTAGGGCAGCCAGCTGTATGTAAGACACATTATAGAATCATAGAATGGTTTGGGTTGGAAAGGACCTTAAGATCATCTAGTTCCAACCCCCCTGCCACCTCACACTAGGCTAGTTGATCAAGGCTCTGTCTAACCTGGCCTTGAACACTGACAGAGATGGAGCATTCACCACTTCTTTGGGCAATCATCTGTTCCAGTGCCTCAGCACCCTCACAGTAAAAACTTCATCCTTATATCTAACCTGAACTTCCCCTGTTTAAGTTTGAACCCGTTACCCCTTGTCCTATCACTACAGTCCCTGATGAAGAGTCGCTCCCCAGCACCCCTATAGCCCCCCTTCAGATACTGGAAGGCTGCTATGAGGTCTCCACTCAGCCTTCTCTTCTCCAGGCTGAACAGCCCCAACTTCCTCAGCCTGTCTTCATAGAGGAGGTGCTCCAGTCCCCTGATCATCCTCGTGGCCCTTCTCTGGACTTGTTCCAACAGTTCCATGTCCTTTTATGTTGAGGACACCAGAACTGCACACAATACTCCAGGTGAGGTCTCACAAGAGCAGAGTAGAGGGGCAGGATCACCTCCTTCGACCTGCTGGTCACGCTCCTTTTGATGTAGCCCAGGATACAGCTGCATCAAAAGCTGCACACAGGCAGAAACATAACATTATTCTGCATCTTGCACCAGAATAAGAGGGAAAACTGACACATTTTGCTGAAGGCAATTTCAGCTGTAAAAGGCAGTGAAGTGATATAGGTCTGCAATCAACACACCTGAAATGCTGACATATGTCATCCAAATAACACACAAGGAGCAACTTGGTTTTGTTGAAGAAATACCTCAGCTGTTTCATTTAGTCCATGTGTAGTAAGCATATAAATGGTCTTACTATATGAAGTTACTTCAAGAAACCACGCAATCTTTAAGCTAGTCACAGATAAGCACCAAGTACTGCAAAAATCCTTGTGAAACTGAACAAATTTACCGCCAAAATTTTCTAGGAGATTATTCTTTTGAGTGTAGAGAAGAAGATCCACAACACCTGTTCCTTTGCAGTGAAAGCATCCCCGGGGGCAAGGACAGATAGGAGATGGTTTCTGCTGCCGGGACGGTCCCAGCCACGGAGGGAACGTTGCATCACTTTGCTTGAAAAATGAGATTTTGCCCCCATTTCTTTCCACAGTGTGGATCAGCCTGTACTACCTGGCTTTCTATGTGGTGATGTCAGGGCTCTTCGCACTCTCCATCTATTCTTTAATGAGGACAGTGAATCCATACGAGCCGGATTACCAAGACCAGCTGAAATCCCCAGGTACTGCCATGGTCCAGGCAGCTGCTGCTCGGGAAGAAAGCTAAAGCTCCCCAGGGTCCTGCAGTGGCTGCATGGGGCAGGGCTGAGAGGCACTGGCAGAGCCCGGGTGCAAGGGAAGACATATGTGGAATGCATCAAGTCGATTCTGCCCAAACATCCCCTGCAAAATGTAACCTCCGCCTGAAAAACTTTTAGGCTTAAAAAAAAATATTGGTGCATTTATTTCATTTGTTCTTTTATATATTTTATATTTATATATAATATAAAATATATTGATTAAATATAATACATTAATATGATGCAATATGATACAAATGAATATATATATTTATTTCATCATGCCATTGAGACAACCAGTGCCCGCCTGTCACAGTCACCTGCAAAGGGGGAAGCCCTTCCCAGGCTGCAGGGCACCTCCTCGCCTCACAGGCAGGGCTCAGCCCCTGGGAAACTCCTGGTTTCTGTTCCGGCCCCAAGCGCGCCAGAGGGTTTTGGTTTGCCTGCCAAGATGGAAAGTGCTGGGGTGAGCTGCCTGGGGTGGGTATTTCTGTGCTTGCCAGCAGCATGGAAAGGCCCTGGGACAGTAGAAATCCTTTCCCAGCGGGATTGCTGTGACAGCAGCCAAGCACGTAAAAAGAAGACAAAGACACTTGGGATTAGGAATAAAGATCTGTGGGACACGAAGTGAGACTGGGAAGATCATCAGCGAGAAATCGTCAGTGCACACTGCTAAAACTTCACTCCCCCTAATGGTGTTTTACAGCTACTGCTGTTGTATTTTGAAGTTTCCTCTTCCAATATTCAGTAAGCTTGGTGTTTGCTGGCAAAATAATTCCTGTAAAATATTCCGTGTGACTTTGAGAAAGCTGTTTGTCATGCTGCAGTACGATCTGTTTCTTTTAACCTGCTGTGACTATTACAACTGTGATTCTGAACAAGTCCTGGGGAAATCCAGTGCAATTGCTGGAATGATTTTGCAAGCTGTTCTAATAACAGCACACATACAGGGAAAGAATAGGGTATAGTAGCACTCGAGGCTTTAGGGTTTTGGTTGAGCAACTCACTGCTGAGATGGTTTCCATACAGGGTTAAATCGTCCCCAGCAAAGCCTGGGAATCTCTTACACTTACAATAATGGGTCTTGAAGCAGTGTAATAGCTGTTGTCAGTTTAAACAAACAAATCTGTGTCTGGCACCTCTCCTTTGCTTTGCCTTCCCTTTTTTCTCCCATAAAGGTGTTACGTTACGACCCGATGTTTATGGGGATAGAGGACTGCAAATTTATTACAACGTATCTGACAACAAAACCTGGGAAGGTTTAGTGACAACTCTTCAGACTTTTCTAACAGGTAAAATGAGGTTTCCTGCATAAATATTGAAGAAATGTGCTGTCACATCTCCTGTATTAGATCTGAGGACCTTAACTCGGTGTTTCCATTTTACATTTGTCCTTCTGAAATCACAGATTTTGAGTGGAAGTTGCATCTTCTAAAAGGGCCGAGCAAATCACCTCATGAATTTATAAATCAAACTTATTTAAACATGTCTATTAAAAGCAGAGCCCTGCTTCAGAGCTTGTACTTTGTTTAATCCTAAATAGCCTTAATAAAATAGGCCAATAAAAATTCTGAAGGAAGAGTGAGGAAAAAAGGTCTTTAAAACTAGTCTGTCTAAATTAATCTAATACTGTCCATGACTACAACTATCAAAGTGCCCTAGTAAGTCTTGTGAAGCTTTTGCATAGTGTCATCAGGGAGTATAGTCAAAGTAGGTTAGATGCTCCATTTGCCTGTTTGCATCTTCATTTATGTTCCTCTTGAGCCTATATATCATATTGTACACATACTGAAAGAAATTGTATTTGAAATTGGGTTTATATGGAGCAAGCAACACAAATTGACAGTTTTAACTCAATTTGATCTCTTTTTTTTTGGCTTTGTCTGGATACTACATTCCCATGATATAACCTCCAGCCTGATATTGGGATGTATAACTTACACATGAAAGAACTTCAGAGGGGAATTTTTCTTTCTCCCTTCACACATCTAGCATACACGCCAGCTGCTCAGCACCTGAACATCAACTGCACCAGTGACACCTACTTCTTCCAAGACACCTTCGATGGCCCAAATAAAACAAAACTATCCTGCAAATTTACGTCAGATATGCTTCAAAACTGCTCTGGCATCATGGATCCGACTTTTGGATTTCCAGAAGGAAAACCCTGTTTTATTATAAAAATGAACAGGGTAAGTACAAGCTCAAGGTGCTGAAGAGGAAAAAATTCACCAAGAAACCCCTAATAGCTCAAGTCTGTGCTGAGGAGCTGTTGTTTCATCTGCTGCCATGGGTTCTGATCTCTGCTTTATTCTGGGAGGATAAATTCATATGCTTTTCCAAAGAAAATTCCAGAGTTATCAGACAAATAATGAGACTTGTTCACTACCCCTAGAGAAGTAATGTAGGGCAAAGTGATGTCTGAACTGACTCTCTAAATCTTTGGCTTTCATTTAGTTTTATTAGCGTTTCCATAGCACTCTCATCCAACGAACTATCACCTAAAAGAGTTTTGTTCTGCAATACCATGATCATGTGCATTCAGCTGAGGCACTAAGATGTGATAGGAACTGAAGTGATTCCAGAGTGGTGATACTTGCACAACTTATTTCTCCAGGCAGCAAAGAAAACACTTAGCAGAACCATCAAAACCAGAATTCAAACCCGGTGGATAATTTCTTCAGTGAAAACCACCAACATGTGGTTTGTTTTCTTTTTTGGAGAGGGAAAAGGGAATCTTCTAAGCTTCCTTATTTTTTTCTTTTTTTTTCAGGACAGACAGAAGCATAAGCATTATATTTTGTTTTCAGGTAAAATCCTGAGCCTTCTAGTTCAGCTTTGTAGAAAGAGCTCAAATTGTCCTCCAGTTCCTGACAGATAAAATCACTTGTTTTTTGGTTTTCACCCTCAACATCTTCAACAATCTATGCAAGATCTAACTGTGAGAGGAGAGCTGTGCTTCTAGTTTTGGCAGGCTTTTTCAAGAAAAGCCTGTGCTTCCTTCAGCAAGGCTGCACACCAGCCCTGGCAGACGATAGGATAGTGCCTGGGAAGCTTTACTTCTCTCCACCTTTGCTTCTATATGATGCTAGCCCACTATTTTTGCAGGATCAAATGGACCCAAGGGTTTCTGCCAAAGCCAAAGTTTTCTAACAAGGCATAAGATGAAAACCAAAGAGATTCAGCTTTTCCTCTGTTGTCAGGCAATTAGCTGGTTTAAGAGACCCCTGGCTGCCTAGGCATCAGGAGCAAGTGGCACATGTGGGTTAATGGGCTGGACCTGCCAGGAGGCTCAGAGCCACCTGCCCTGCCCAGGCTAGAGCCCATCTGCCATGAGCATCCCGGGCACTGCAGAGCCCTGCTTCCCAAATACCCAGCCATGACATGGCTTTTAACCCAGGTACATAAGATGAGATGATCTGGTTGACAGTGCTTTATGCAGAAATACATCAGCCATCCTTTGAAGCTCAGATAATAATGTTCTTGGTTTTCATCTCAAAACAATTCCCAAGATGACCAAATGTGTGTTTCCTGTTTCAGATTATCAACTTTCTCCCTGGCAATGGCACTGCACCAAGGGTGAACTGCACATATGTGGTAAGTGTATGAGGTCCGAGTCTCAACAAATTTCTATCACTGCAGCTCTGGGAGTGAGTCAAGCACAGCTGTGACCAGAAAGATCACCCTGCAGCTCTGGACATCAGATCATTCTGGCTAACTACTGGGAATATTCACAGTTCTGTGTGACGTCTTGCATCAGTAGGCATCATAGAATGGTTTGGGTTGGAAGGGACCTTGAAGATCATCTAGTTCCAACCCCCCTGCACAGGCAGTGACACCTCCCACTAGACCAGTTTTCTTAAAGCCCCATCCTGTCCAAAGAACAACCTAAGAACAAAACCCAACCAACCAAACAACCCAAACCAAAACCAAACATCTGCTTTATTTTAAATCACAACTGTTTTTGTGTACTGCAGAGAACATTTGTTGTTTTCTCTCAGCTCCAAGTAATGAAGTTTGTGCCTCAGCACAGTTCCTTCAGGTTCTCTGCTTGTTTCAGCAGATCCCCATTCATTGAATCCACAACTGCTATGAAAGAACACTTGACTCCTTTCCTTGGCAATAGTAACAGAAGGAGATTTTCTCTTTTATTTGGAAAATAACACTAAGGCCAGTGCTAAACAGACTGCTGAACTCGAGTTTTATTATAGACTACGCAGCTTTCGGCAGTAGGACAGCATGTTCCCAGTGCTGGCTTCTAACTGCCTAACCAGTGAAGCTTCTTCCTTACTTTACAAACAGGGCGATGAGTCTCACCTGCTGGAAGCGGATTACTACCCTGTGAATGGCACCTTCAACTTGCACTACTTCCCCTACTATGGAAAAAAAGCACAGGTGGGTGCTCATACATTTCAGTATCACTTTTCTTCTTTACCTTTGCATTAGGTGAAACATATGGAGCATTTCTTCAGTCTTAAAATTAGCCTTCTCTCCAGCTCTTGTAAGACTTTATTTTTAAATTGCTAAGGGTAAATTTAAAGTACTTTTTTTCCCCCTCCTCCTAGCCCAGCTACAGCAATCCTTTGGTAGCTGTGAAATTTCTCAACATTACGAGGAATGTAGAACACAGAATAGTGTGCAAAGTCATTGGAGCTGGAATTACCTTTGATAATGTTCATGATCCATATGAAGGAAAAGTGGAATTTAAATTGAAAATTGAAGACTGAGCAGCAACAGAGGCACTTCTGAAAAACACATGTGAAGAGTAAACTCACCTATTATCACATTCATCCCTATTTATTTTCTCACTATGATTGCCATATAAATTTAGGCAAACAGCAGTGCAAAGAGACATTTTCTACTGAAAGATGAGCCATATAGCTAAAAATCAAGATACCACTCTCAGTCAATGAAGGAGATGAGGTTTAACTCAATGTACATAGTTTAATATTCCATGGCTATTGTATGCTATTGCTTTCATGCAGGTATTTGTATAAAACAAATTTCCCCTAAACTGAGCAGCTGTGTATTCATATAAAATAAGGATAGGATCAAAACATTTTCTGTCACTTTTCAAACCATAATAAATAATTTATGTATAATACTGAATGGTGGGTATTGAGAAATAATTTGATAGAAAAATTAATTGATGCTTTGAGATACTAGCAAGTACTATAATTCAGTCTCTCTTGTATAGGATGCATAAAAGTACATTAAAGTTATCTGTATCCCAATGCACTGGTTTTTTTACTAGACAGCCAAGTTGGATTTTTGTAGTTGACCAATCAATGGGTGCAAAAGAACTTGAAATCTGTCCTCTAGCCTACAGATTTTTATTGTACCACTTACAATTTCTGTTTGTATATAACTTAATAAAAATGACTGATAAGACTGTAACATCCACTTACACCCAGGAGAACTGTGCTCGTTTCACTACCTGAAGTTGTCATTTGTCTGTTTTTCCAGTAGGATAGCCTTGTATCGCAATGGTAACATTGGGGTTACTTGGAATGATCTGAAAGATGCTGAAGTAAGACTGAATCTTTAAGTTAATCTGAAATCAGAGAAGTCTAACAACCACATATGGTGCAGAGACACAAGACCGCTGTGTCTGATAGTTTATTTATGTTAGTTGAAGGCCAGGAGGCTTCCACCACAGAATAAACATCACACACACAAGCAAAAAGGTATTAAACAGAAGAAATAATTTTACACCTTCACTGCCTGGACATTTTAGGAGGTGGGAAGATGGAACAGGTTGACCTCCTTTACTACAGTGACATTCAGACAGCCAACTTGCAGAAAGAAACCAGTTGGAGGAGAGTATTTCTGCCTCAACACCAAAAATGGTATTTGAGCCTTTCTTAGAAAAAATGGACATTCTGCATTTCAGAAACAATAAAAAAATTCATCCTCATGTAAGAATTTTCCCCAAAACCCCGACCTTTCATGTTTAAATTTTTACGGTGGAGCTTTGCCTGTGTTCTAAGAGATTGAATGAAAATGAACTTTATAGCCTTGTTGGAACACAGGTCTCCCCCTGCTCATCTTTCCAAAGTAACATGGAAAACAATAAAATCATAAAATCACTGAAAGTTTTGGGTTGGAAGGGACCTTAAAGCTCATCTAGTTCCAACCCCCTGCCTTAGGCAGGGAGACCTTCCACTAGACCAGGTTTCTCCAAGCCCCATACAACCTGGCCTTGAACGCTGCCAGGGATGGAGCAGCCACAACCTTTCTGGGTGACCCAAGAGAACCAGCAGTCAGTCCATATCTCTGGGGCAGTGGAGGGGGCAGGCAGCCCTTACCAGAGAAGAAAACTGGGCATCTGCCTGTGCCAGGCTGTCTGCCCTTTCTTCTCTCGGCTGTGCAGGAGAGGCTAGCCATGAGAAGAGGCATAGGGAAGACAGTGTCCCGCCATGAAACTAGTATCATTGGCACAATGATTTTTTTATAGCCCGTAAATTTTAGTTTCCAGGCTTATCCCTTAGAGGTGTTAGATAAAACTTTCGAAGATCAGTGCAGAGAGAACAGAAACAAAGCTTTGATGGCATCTTCCTCTTGACACCTCCATCTACTGTTACAAATATTCCTATTACTGGTAAAACCAGTAATTGAAGGGTAAAGCCCTAATGTCTATTATTAAAAATTACGAAAAGAAGTAAACAGAGTGCAGACAACACTGAATGCAAGCTCTTTGATGCTTAAAGGATTTTTTTTTTTGTGCAATGACTGAGACTTCAGCAAGTTTGAGATGTTTTTCCCTCTACCTTTCAGAATTGCCAAGTATTATATGTGAATTATTAAGTCTTTGCTTAATGGTCTCACATGTTGTCATTGCTATCGCTCTTGGGAATTGCTATCATCATTTCATATAACTGGTTTTAATCTCTTAACTGCAATAAAAGTAAGACAGAGGTTGATTCTGCAGCAAATAAAGCTGTCTAGTCATTCACCAATTCTATCCAGTAATCAGATGTAGAAAACTAGCTGCATCAACAATGCTTGCTGAAAACATTTTATGCTTGGCACACATACTCCTTTCACAAACTTCATTTCTTTCAGTTACAAAAGCTCAAAAAAGATTATCCTGTTTTAACATAAAATAAAAATGTCCATGGAAGAACAGGTGCCTTTTCCTCAATTTCATTTGAAAACTTCTCTCACAGAGGATAAAGACTGTTCACTTTTCTTCTCCTTTTTCTTCATAGAGTGGTAACAATGGATGCACAGCATTTCTCATTATATTAAGAGGAGAAGTTGGGTGGAAAATTCCCTTTTTAGGATTCCACTATATCTCTCTCCATTGGCCTAAAATGAGAAGCAACTGAATTCTATTAAGACCCTTCGGATAACACCTTTCAACTTTAACGCGTGCATTTACATGTAGTCCTACCGTTACCGTAACGGGAATTCTACCTTTCCAATTGCAGTATGTTCCAGGGACTTATTACCATCTTTATAAACTAGGTAATTTTGATTTTTCTGATTTTAAGTCCCAGTCCATAAATCTTGTGTCACTTGTCTTTCCAGTGCTGATCAGCCTGGTAACAAGCTAGCCTTTTGTGTGACTTGACATAAATACAGTAAGGTCTCCTCTTTTTTTACTATACCAAGATGGAGTTCCTTAAGTCTCTTAGTAAAACATCCTGGTCTTAGGTATCAAATAACTGGGAGAAGAGATTCTTTTCTGTGTCTCTTCCTATTTTTATAATAGTTTTAAACGACAATGCTAACACATATATAAGGTGCTCACTGTTGGTCTCACTGTATGTATTTGGATGCAACATCCCTAATACATTATTAGTTTCATCTCTACATGTAAAATCAGATGAGCTAGTTCCTTTGAACACCACATTGAAGACATATGCGGTTCCTGTCCACCTTGACACCCAGGTCATTTTTAGGATCCTGTGTTTTCAGCATGTAGTCTTACCTCCTGTAAGTGTAGCTTGAATTCTTTGTTCAAAAGATGTACAGTTTAACCATAACATTTTTTGGACATTCCCTGCTTGCCAAAAAATCCACATTAATCTGTCCTTTTCATAATATACTTCTTTTTTTAACCAGTATAATTTAAAAATATTTTTTACTTTTCTTCCGATTTATTAGAAAACATTAAACAGAAGTACAACCTTACCTGACACAACTATTCAGTCACTGATAATGCCCAAACCCTACCTTGATTCAGCAGTAAACAGTTCATAAAATATTTAAAATCAGAATGCATGAAGTAGAAAAGGCTCAAATACGTTAAAACACATCCTTAATTTCCTTAATTGTCTAAAAATTTGCAATCTCCTCCCAAATTCATTTGACAAGACCTATTCCGTACTTTGTCATTAGTACTTAACCTTCCAGGCCTTTAATTTTCTTTCAGCTGTTTCCTTCAACAGGTTTTGTAATGAGGTTCAGAGCTGATCTCAGGCTGTCTTGACCACATATGGACAGGACTTCCTCACATCACTTTGAAAAGTGGCACTCATCGTTATTTTCGTCTTTAAGTAGTCACTATTCCAAGGTTCATCACAAATCAGCATTGGAAAGGTAGAGATCCATCCTACCTAGCACCAGCTACCTGGATTGCCTGTTTCCAGAGCATTAAGCCTCAGGTATCTGCTTAATGTTCCACTCTAACACATTCTCACAAATTCACATGATGAAAGAACACAAAGCTTGCCGGAAGTCTGCAACTTTGTTTTCTTTTGTGGTCTTGGGACTGGTCTTGTTCAACATCTTTGCTGGGGACACGGACAGCGGGATTGAATGCACCCTCAGCAAGTTTGACGATGACACCAAGCTGTGTGGTTCGGTTGATACGCTGGAGGGAAGGAATGCCATCCAGAGGGACCTTGACACACTTGTGAGTTGGGCTGATGCCAACCTCATGAAGTTTAACCATGCCAAGTGCAAGGTCCTGCACCTGGGTCGGAGCAATCCCAGGCACAGCTACAGGTTGGGCAGAGAAGAGATTCAGAGCAGCCCTGCAGAGAAGGACTTGGGGGTGTTGGTTGATGAGAAAATGAACATGAGCTGGCTTCAGTGTGCGCTCGCAGCCCAGAAAGCCAACCGTACCCTGGGTTGCATCAAAAGGAGCGTGACCAGCAGGTCGAAGGAGGTGATCCTGCCCCTCTACTCTGCTCTTGTGAGACCTCAGCTGGAGTATTGTGTGCAGTTCTGGTGTCCTCAACATAAAAAGGCCATGGAACTGTTGGAACAAGTCCAGAGGAGGGCCACGAGGATGATCAGGGGACTGGAGCACCTCCTGTATGAAGACAGGCTGAGAAAGTTGGGGCTGTTCAGCCTGGAGAAGAGAAGGCTGCGTGGAGACCTCATAGCAGCCTTCCAGTATCTGAAGGGGGCCTACAGGGATGCTGGAGAGGGACTCCTCATCAGGGGCTGTAGTGATAGGACAAGGGGTAACGGGTTCAAACTTAAACAGGGAAAGTTCAGGTTAGATATAAAGATGAAGTTTTTACTATGAGGGTGCTGAGGCACTGGAAGAGATTGCCCAAAGAAGTGGTGAATGCTCCATCTCTGGCAGTTCTCAAGGCCAGGTTAGACAGAGCCTTGACCAACTAGCCTAGTGTGAGGTGGCAGGGGGGTTGGAACTAGATGATCTTAAGATCCTTTCCAACCCAAACCATTCTATGATTCTATAATGTGTCTTACATACAGCTGGCTGCCCTACAAGAAGCCAGTGGTTATTTGTGGGGGTGGGTGTCAGAAACTGATTCCCTGTAATCAGCACCTCACAAGATCTTCTTCTCTCCAAACTGGAAAGGCTAATTTTGGTTTAATTTTCTGTAAAAATCTGGTGTTAAGAGTAGCCAATAAGTTACACTCATCGGCTTCGCAGCAGGAAAAAATCACCTGGAAATTTGCAAGAGCAGGCATCCACCTTACAATGGTTAGGGTTACCTTTCCCAGAATGTAGATCAGAAAACGCCTCTGTCATAGACACAAGTCTGGCTGCAGGCAGGGAGGTTCAGCTGAAATACTCACCAGCATGCAGTGATAAGAGATCAGAAGAGCTACTGAGCAGACAATAATTTTAAAAGGAACAGGGGAAGTTTAGATTGGATATAAGGAAGAAGTTCTTTACTGTGAAGGTGGTGAGGCACTGGAATGGGCTGCCCAGGGAAGTTGTGACTGCTCCATCCCTGGCAGTTCAAGGCCAGGTTGGAAAGAGCCTTGGGTGACATGGTTTAGTGTGAGGTGTCCCTGCCCATGGCAGGGGGGTTTGAACTAGATGATCTTAAGGTCCTTTCCAGCCCTAACTATTCTGTGATTCTGTGATTAACGTGCTACATTGCAAAAACTTTCCATTCTGCTCTAAGCAGCCCTCCTGACAGGTCAGGGCTCACACCATTGCACTACTTACAGTGAAGTACCATGACGCATACACA